TTCCTCTACCGAACAGCTGATAATTGTTTGTCAACGTACATGAAAGTACTTGCTAGATACTTGATTTACTTGTTAGATCTGTCACTGGTACTATTTAACTTTTGTTTTGAGACTATTGATTGTTATTGAGTGGTGAGACATAACTTCAAAAAATGAATCCGTTAATGGAACTTTTTACTACTGCCTAAAAGAATAAGGATTAACTTCAGATAATAAGAGATAAACCACCTTTATAAACATGAAAATAGACTCTTCTCTATTAGACCTTTCGTCTTTATTCAAAAGAGATCATCAGTCGACTTTGAATAAAGACGAAAGGTCTAACAGAAAAGAGTCTATTTTCATGCTTATAAAGGTGGTTTATCTCTTATTATCTATATTTAAGTTCTTCACCTTAAAAAAGCACTCAAGGATTAACTTATATCAGTTAGAAATATTGAATATTTTACGCCAAGTACATCGTTAGTTTTTACTGTGGTAGTCGAACAGGAAAAATGGAGTTAACTTTAAATACGTTCTTTTTAAGGCTCCTCTGCGGAAGTCTTAGATTGTTTTTACATTTCTGAGTACGAAAAAGGCTTGCGGTTGTAACGGCAAAAAACATTTGAGTTTGGTGCGGTCGTCGTTTATATATACGGTCCGTGTGTAACATGCAAGAGAACAAAATTCTGTCCATTTTACTTTTTTGTGTTTTCTTTTGTGTATATACCCATACAGATGAAAAACGTCGTGGAGGGGTGTGAGTACTCCAAAATGGGTCCTTGTCGAGGGCTCGACTCCTCGAAAAATGAGACTTCGGATCCTCGATATAAGCGTTCGAGAGGTTACCGATTTTGTGCCCTCCGATTTCAGATAGGCAGCGAGCCCTCGAGAAAAATTCTGAGCCGTCGAACAGGGATACACGGGACTTCCGAGCTCACGTCACATCCTTGTGCGACGGGGTTGAGTATTGTGTGTATCCTTTTAATTTATTAAAATTTTCTCATAGATTATATTTATGCGAAATAATGAGACATTTGAACATGTGAAGGTGATAATTTCGCGGCGCTATAGCGTTCCCGTTCGTTAGAAGAACCAAAATGGGACCAAAACGTGTAGGTCAAATATAGCCTTCGAAGGTGTTTTTTTAATGCATTAACTGGCGTAGAAAATGGGTTCGAACGTATTATTTGGCGAAACCAAGGCTTCGGAAGGCTAGGCATGTGTAAAAAGGTTTTCGTAGCCTGCGGATATTAGTTCGTGTTATAAAACGCCAAGGCATTAAAACGAAGGCTTTTAATGCATTAGAAGTAGCGCAATGTAATTCCCAATGTCGAGCATCCATTAAAAAGTGGAATGCATGCAAACAACAAATTCTTCTAATGGATGTGAACAAATTCTAAATTTTAGGCACTTGAAGTCGTCCAGTGATTACTAACACCATCACATACACTAAAGAGTAGAACACCTGCAAATATACGCGAAAAATTCATTTATTACATGCGTTCGAAAACCCTTTCAATGTGTGTGAACGTAATTGGAATTAGATGGTACTACTTCAAGTGCCTAAACATTTTAGAATGTGTGCACGTACTTTAGAAGATTTCACACGCATTCTACTTTTTAATGAATATGATTCGTGTCTTCTAAAATTATTCCACCCCATGTTTATTCAATAAATTCAATATTTAATATTTCATGGATTAAATGAAAATGGCTTAGCATTATTAGAACAATACACCATTCAATCAGCAACTGCAGATTTTCTTAGAAAGAGCGAATCAACATTCTTTAAGGGTCTCCTCAGAAAGATAATTTTTCATGAAAAAATGACACGTTCTGATTTATATGATTCGATAGAAGAGACAACGGGCTACAAAACGGCATAAAACCTTTTTTGAAAATCCGTTAATTTTTGATTTTTTTTAACATTTTTTATGAGTTGTGTTGAGCTGAAAATACGACAAAATTTATTCTTATTCGAACCTACGTTGATCATTCCATTCGATTCCCCATACAAAAGACCTCCTCGGATTTCCTTCAAAGTCTACCACCCTGTGTTACCAATAGTCTGTGAATGAGGTGTGTAGCCCGTCTCACGACGAATCTAATCAGCTTGTTTTTTTTCTTTGGAATCAGGGCTGGGCATCTCCAACTCCGGAGTTGACGATTTTTTTGGTGGAGTTGGAGTTGAGATTTTAGTAGGTTGGAGTTGGGTTTTTGAATTTTTATTCTGAACTCCGTTTTGCACTTTTGGAAATATTCAATAGTTGTAAACTGATCTTCTAAACGATTGAGTGGCTGTATTTACGAGTGAGTTCGGAAGTTCTTTGCGCTTTCCTGCCGGAAAACGCTCAGAAACGTCCGGAATTCTGCTGAAAACCGAAAAATCTTCCTTACAGAAGTGAAGCAACCGGAATTGAACGGGAGTTGAGATTTTTGTTCAGAGAGTTGGAGTTGAAAATTTTTGAGCGGAATTGGAGTTAGAGTTGGAGTTAGAAATTTGAAAACGGAGTTGAGTTGGAGTTGAAAGTCAGCGGCGTTGCTCAGCCCTGTTTGGAGTCATTGGGCGCATAGTGAAAAATGGACTTTTCTGATGACTACTCAATTTCGCGATATTAATAGTATAAACCTCGTATTTCTAAAAACGAAGTAATCACAGAACAATCTGTTTCTAGGATCGTACAGAAAAGAGTAAGATGCGCAATATCCTGAAAAAAAGTTTTTTAAATCTGCTTAAGGAGTCCCTCCCCTGCTCTCAGAAATGGTGATTTTCAGTCAAAATATCTGTTTTGAGATAAGCACATGGGAAGATAGCCTGCAGTGTCTCCTTTCAGAATCTGTATCGCTTTTAGTTACAAAAGTGTTTTTTCCCGGATTTTGAGCAAGTTTTCTAGGAGCCTCGAAAAACTGAATCTTCAAATAATAGCTTTTCCTGGATACTAATGCAATTAAAAATTTTCTAAACACACAGATTTGTAGAGCAAACGTTTCTGATCAAAATAAGACCTCGCACAACTCTGTATGACTCTGCATCAAAAAGTTACAGGCATTTTCCTAGAAGTTCTAAAATTGAGTATTTCATACAGCGTTTTCTCTATATAAGAGAAAAAAAACGCCGGTCAGACGATGTAGTTAGGTGTCTAGTTTAAAACAAAACAAACCTGAACTCTCCAGCTTGAAATATATTAAAAAATTTTGGGAAACACTTCAGGATCCTTTTGGGACCTTGATCTCTAGAAAACTTCTAAACGGTAAGACTTGGAGACAAAAACATTTTTCATTCCCGCAACTCAGTAAGGCCCCATAACACCCATTTCTTTAACATAAGTTTGTTCAAGAGATTATGTAAAAAATTCCTGTAATTTTTTTTTAATACAATGTTATCAAATAATTTAATGCTAAAAGATCATACATGTCCTTGTCGTTTCGTCCTGACGATTTCGTCAAAAACGCGTCAAAAACTTCCATTCTTTGAAGGATTTCCAGAAGGTCTCTGGAAAACCGTCCTCGCGTGAATTAGAAATTTCGATTCTTCTGGGTGGGTACAATCTACCGTGCTATACTCTAGAAAACGAATCGAGGTCGCTGTCACCTTCCGTCCAGACGCTGGTCCTGACCCATTAAGGGACCCGCTGTAAGAACACTTTTTCCGCCAGCGGGCGCCAAATCGCTGTTGGTAGCCTTAAGACGGATGGACTATGGGTAATCGACCATGCTGAGTATCGTGGCGATATTTGTTTTTAGAAAAATTTTTAAAATCTACCGAAAAGCCAGTTTTACGAAAATTAGGGTTTTCAGGCTGTTCTCACCCAGTATTAAAAACTTCACTACACTTGAGAGACTTTCTGGAAGGTGTAAAACTTTGCTCCGAATCTTTCAGCTAGTGATACTAAATGCAAGTGATGCCATTTCAGAAGATTCAACTTCTATCCACGCAACAAATGAGGTAAAATAGCATATGTTACTTTATACGTTTATGTTGAATAGATAAGTTGGCAACCACAGTTTAGTCAAAAAGCAATTTTTCCAATTGATAAGAATTCTTCACGTGTTTTGGGATCTTCTCTAAAAACACCCGACATTGAACTTGTAACTGTCCTAGCATTTATTTTCTCAGCTCCACGCATGACCATACACATATGTCTACAATAAAGTTAATGTCAAATACTAAAACATGTCCGCAAACTTGCTAAAGAACGACAAAGCACTGTTTTTTCTCGATTCGCCTCTAAGACTGAATGGTAAACCCCAGCTTTTAAGTTAGAGATTTGATTCTTTTCGGTGGGTTAATAAAGACATCAAAATGCAAGATAAATAATTTATCGTTGGGCCTAATTGAATTATTGTAAAGAAGTTCAACTATCACTTTCCTAACAAGAATTGAGGACTAGAAAAAAGAGCTTTTTAAACAAGTTCAGGCAGTTATAGGGATCATTACTGGCGGCCTTCGACATGAATCTACAGCCTGTGACTAGAGGCTTTGTCGAAATCTTGTTCAGGTCATTTTTAAAAATAAAAAGTTACGTGATTTAGAAAAGTTTAAAACCGGATTTTCGAATTTCAAATTCTTTGAACAGTATTTTTAAATTTCCTCTCGTCATAGTCTACATCATACTATTTTTGTAAACAACTGTTGGTTCAGCAGGTTTCTACAAAATGATTCCTATAAATTATCAGGACTTGTTGGAAAATACTATCAGTCCCAAATGCATACTGAGAAGACGAAAGTTCATTCCTCCACAAAACTTATTCGAGAGCACGCATATGTCCCCTTTTAAAATACGCAAGAACCGCATCTTATTAGCTGAAATTCGTCTGCAGTTTTATTAAAGCTCAGAAAAACAGAAAACCTTTACACACTGTTTTCCCCGAAAACTATAAGTTCTCGAACAGGAAAATTTTTGGAGTACGTTTTGGTAGCTGGTCTCGTGAGTATAAATTGTTTTCTACTCAAGAACTACTGTGAGTAAAGATTTTCGTTATTTTATCTATTAATCATATTATTGTCAATACAACACTTACACGCATTCAATAATGACGCCGACACCTTGTGGATTAAGCGCTTCGTCAATGGCTTCAGCTATTTGTTTTGTCAAACGTTCTTGAACTAAAAATTAATTGAAACCAGATACAATAAAGAAAAGACGCACTATCAGACTTTGACAGCTTGAAGCAGCCAGTACATGAATGATAAGGCGGAACAGGCAGCTGTTGGATTCTGGTGCTACAAAAACTAATAGTTTCATGCGTATTTAATCGTATTACAATATTTCCGGAATGAGACGGTGCGTTGATGTACTAGCGTCCTCATTTGTTTTCGTTATTACTTTCGAGTATTGGTTAGTCACTTGAGCATGGGCCTACCTTGAAGCCTTCTGCTAAATATCTCGACTATTCTTAAATTAATGGAGATACATAGTTAAAAACTGATTGACAAGAAAATCGAAACTGTGCTCGGTTACCTCGCTATTTTACTTAAACCGATAACACGATTTTTCGGTAAATAGCCAACTGACACCTATAAAAGAAAACAAGTGTCTGGTGAAAAACATCGGCGACAGTTTTCGCCACACATTTTATATGTAGATTAGTCTCCATTAGGCAAAATCGTTGCAATCATTTTGGCTCTCTGGAAAAGTGTTCATGTAAATGTTAACGTCCACACCGGAATTGCGTCCAGTCTCCTCTCCTGTGTTAATCTGACATCCGAGATTACACGATAGTAATTTGTGTTAAACTCAAAATTGTCTAGCGAAATTTAGGAGAATTCTGCATACACTATGCTCCAAATGTACATTGTTTAGTGCTGATCAGAAAGCGGAACTTCGCGCCTTCTCAATACTTTTGCTCTTTGTGGCAAGTATGTTAAATCGAAATTATTCAGAAACTCGATCTGGAAAGAAGAACGCAGCCGATTTGATATTTAGGAAAGCGCAAGACACCGCTTTCTGATCAGTACTAACCAGTGGACATTCGGAGAAGAGTTTGCGCAGAATTTCTGCTAACTTTTGCTACAAAATGTTGAGTTTAACACATCTGAGTAATGCCAAAATCCGAGTTTGAAAGCGCCCCAGTTTGGGCGCTGGCATAAATATAAAATTTTCACTCTTAGATTAGGACACAAAAAACTAGTAGGAATATAGCCAGTAAGAACAAGAAAAAGAAAAAATAATATATCCGTACCTTGTAGCGAATAAATACTTTATTCCCGTATACTGACGTTTATTCAAACACCAACGTTTCGACCTGGTAAATAGAGATGTGCAACCCGACCCGCGCTCGTACCCGACCCGAAGGTTGGGTACGGATACGAAGTTGTCGGGTACGGGTCGAGCAGTTACGGGTACCGGTTCTAATTTTTTTAATTTACGCGAAAACCGGAAGGTTCTAGTGGAAAACCCACAAAATTTTAGTGAAAAAATACAGGAATTTAACTAACATACATGAAGGACACATCACGATCATACGGAACACATGGCGGATTGACTGTGTACTAGCCCGGAGCGCGCTAGTTTATAGTTTTTAGTTTTTAGTTTCTAGTATGCAGTATAATCAGTTATGAGAGCGAGCTCTTCCCCGATGTTTGAACGTTATTTATAATTACAGATCTACTCAGATCAGGTCGGTCTTTTTTTTATGCATTTTCAGCCGTATTTGCATCATGTTTTAATTTTACTTTACTTCGAGAAGAATGTCCAAAGGATATTGGGTGATATGCCTTTTTGACCGAGGTATGCAACAAAGACTAAGTTATTTACTAAATACTCAATGCAGCATACTAGAAACTAAAAGTTTAATACTCATTACTCACTACTACATACTAGAAACTAAAACTAAAAAGTATACTAGGGTAGATGTTCCGAAAATATGAGTCCGCGGCGGGTACAGTTTGGCCATGCTCTCATGAAGCTTTAAAAACGAATTACTTGAGAATGTTATGATAATTTGACATCTTCAGCCGAAAAACAAAAGTTTTTAGCTGGAAAACAAAAAGGAGAAAATTTTTAGGTATAAGTCGATTACGGGTCGGGTACGGGTACGAAAATGATACCTGTGCATATCTCTATGGTAAAGCCTTTTTCAAGGTGACAATAGAAAGAGTGAAATTAGAAATAACATTAAAATCGGTCAAATAGATTCAATTTTTGAAAAAGACCGATCAACGAAAATAAAGTGCTTGAATCATCTCCAAGTAATCACACCTGAATTCAGCACTTTATTTTCGTTGATCTGTCTTTTTCAACAATTGAATCCATTTCACCGATTTTAATGCTATTTCGAGTTCACTCTTTCTATTGCCACCTTGAAAAAGGCTTTACCGGGTGGAAACGTTGGTGTTTGAATAAACGTCATTATACGGAAATAAAGTATTTATTCACTACAAGTTTGCACATCCCGTAAGGAGCAGCAGATATGTCTGATCCGTACCTTCCCGTAAAATGGAACTAAATGATGTTCACATAGGGAGAATATATCGATATTTTTCAGCACAACCATTTCATCGTATGCCTCATCAAATATTGCATCTCCAACAACATCTAGAATTCGACAACCTAGTAAGTGGCCTTTTGCTACAGCTTGCTTACGTCATAACTTGAGTTACCCTGTAGATTTTCCTCGTAACCTTTTGTAAAGAATAACATTGCTTCAGCTGCTCGTTCTGGTGTTTTTAAAAGACCTTGTCGAGTTGGATTTTCGCCAATTTGTTCAAGTAATTCATGATAATTAACTGTCATGAGCCGTACTCGTTTATCACGGATTGTTAATGTATCCGACTCACGTAATGCATGCGTATCAATAACATTTGATACCCGACGAGCATTTGGTCCTCGGGCAGTTTGTAAATGAGATAATTTCTTCTCACCTTCATTCTGTTTTTCCTCTTGTTCTTTTTTAACCAAATTGTTGTTTGAATTATCATCTTTTGTTACTTGAACACGATCGTATGACGATGTATCTGAATCTATAAACGCTTAAAGAAAGCTCATTGTGAATACAATTCACAGCGGGCTGAAGATTTCGCCTGAAAAGAATCATGTGACTTTGTATAACTCACCATTTCTATTGAACTCCGATCTATAGCTGTCGTCATTGGTCAAACTGGTATGAGACATTGCCTGTTATGTGATCTAAATCTCGGTTGATCAGTAATGATCGAAACGAAAAGTGATCATTCGTTAGAGCCGTGGTGGAGGTAAAAACATCTTTGATCTCCTTTCTTGCTGCGTTTGTGGGCTTGGAAGGCTTGGAAAGCTTATATCACCATGCTCATATTTAGATATCGTTTATGCATGATCCGTTAAGCGCCTGCTGGATCTACAAGCTGTTTTTAAGGCGACAAGAGCTTTAATGAGATTCTTTTTCGTGCTCCTAGTCAAAAGTGATCATACCCTGTTATTTAACTAAATAAAGGTATTTTATATTTTCGATTATGAAGCTGGCGTTATTCGAGCGTTATATCATAGCACAGGTAAACTGTTCGCTTTTGTCCATTTTCTTTCCTCTTCCACGAGTAACGTGCATCATTCAGATCCAGGAGGTGTATCTTTTTTTTCAGTAGATTGACGGTCACATAATTACTTGTATTGGTGGCGTTCATCTGGTGGTAGGATTTTTTCTGGTTTTTCGCATGTGAAGGAGACATTCACCTGGTATTCGTTTATGTTAAGGCGTCCTGATCCATCGATGGTAGGCCATTCTATTCTGTTTTAATTTGTGTTAGCGTAAGCGGAGTAATTTTATCACCTTACACAATCTAAAAGGGTAAAAAACTATATGGTGACTGGTGCATTAGTAAACTACTTTTGGGCTTAAATTGTTCTTCTCACGTTGTACATCTAATTCAGGCCACAAATTGACTTTAGGCTGGTTTAGAAACTAATTTATTGTATATAATGCAAAAGCTGCCAAACCAGTATCCCAATTACTGGTTTTATCCACGTAGACATGGATCCAGAAGTTGTTCTCATCCACATAATGCATGATCTTGGACAAGACTTTGAAGCCTCAGAACGCAAGATCTTGATTAACGGAGTTCTTAACTCCGTCAGATGTATTTTTATTTCTACAAAAAATTATAACTGCTTTTTAGGGAAGCCGTCCAAAATAATAGAATGCCAAGAACGTATCCTAGTGAAGTATTTTTCTCAAGCACATGAGTTTCTTGAATTTGTTGAGTAAGAATCTCACGGCGTGGAGACATTGAGGAAGAAAAAAGTACGATACCAAATCTCGCTAAAAAAGCTCTTGCAACTTTTGTCGTCTTCAAACGTATCTCTCTCATCAAATCTATTTTTCCCTATAACAGAGTAAGTTTGAAATTATATAATTACAGAAACTAGAAGTGTTTTAATCACTTTTTCAAATGGGGTATGGTAAATTATGCTTTGACCCCCTTTTCAACAGGAACTTTGCAAGTTTTTCATTAGTTTCAGAAAACACATAATTAGACTTAATTAATAATTTTCAGATACTGGACGACTCTTGCTCCTTTTTCTAAAACGCATTTTCTGGAACAGTATGCAATTCTCTACAAATTCACATTAGTTTTAACCTTTACTAACATGGTTAGAGTCCTGAATAACGAATATTTTTCCATGTCCTATCTTTCCCATACAAACTAGGGCTGTTTTCTCATCCATCTGGTTTTCAAGAAAACATTTGCCTTCACACTTTAGTAAAAAAATAAAGAAAACAAGTAAGCTTGTTTAGGAGGACAACAAGGACAAACAAGGAGCTTGTTTAGCGACATTTGGTATCGTACTTTTTTCTTCCTCAAAGCCAATCCCAAAAATTTAGTTTCCTATGTTTTTTGAAGTTCAGGCTTTTTGCTCTTTCAACTAGAAAAAGAATGAACTTTCTACGATGCTCATGAGCGGAGAACTATGGTTGGAGATTTCGGCAATTACTTTTGCATCACAGATTATCTTGAGCTACTAAATCTAAATTACTATCTTTTAAACGACATCATGTACAATAATAGAGCCGTATCAAATAAGGAATATCTGTCTTGTTACATCTTAGCAAATGTTAGCGTGAATGCTCTGCAATAAAACTATTGTACGCTATGGCTTAGCCTTTTGGCCGGAATAACAACTGCCTTTTATCCTACAGATATATTTTCCGTCTGTTCCCTATAGTACAGAGATACAGAGAGCTGCTAAGTGGATATGTTGTTCGGCACATACTTCAAAGGTACCATGTTCGAATCTCGGCGCCACCCAGTCATAGAATAACCTTGGCCAAGTTACTAACGGCTGTTGTGTCGGATCACCCGTCCGAGAGCATGCTCACTACGTTGTGATATACACCGGTACTTCGGTGCTAGTATGTGGTTAGTGAGTGTGTATGGGGAGCTCGAGCAATTGGGCGAAAAGAACTTTGTGTCAGGCTGGTCTTCTGTCCAGAGCTACAGCTTGCTTGGTGACTAATGAAGAACGGGTGACCGTCTCTGAAGATCATCAGCTGTAGGGAAGAAGAGAGGGTGATTGACAGAGTATGTACTCAAGCGGTGTTTGAAGTATTTTTAAGACACGTTTTACTTGGTCGCCTTTCTAATCTTCCCGAAGGGTAGTTGACATCTAGCTAAGCCGACCGACTGGGACTCGAGGAGGCTTATTCTGTTTCACCACAAAAAATTCTTCTTTCCTTCTTTAGGTCGACTAAGTGGAACTCAGGATACTTATTGCTCTTCACTCCAAGTATTGCTAAGAAAAAATGTTATCTTTAGATCTACTTTCTCCTTCGAGTCAGCCACTCGTTCTCAGCCATCTCTAATCGTACGGAATTAGAAAAAACATCATTCGCGAGTCTAAGAGCTGTAGACGATGCATCAGAAGGCATTTTATTTAATAGATTCTTAGAGTTTGAGACAAGTAATGATAGTCTAGCAATTAAATAATATTATGATATGGTTAGAGAGATATGAAATGAAACACAATCGAAGGCTTTTTAATTTTTATTTAACCACAGTGACCCATTGAAGATTGAGTGGCGAGGAGAGCGACTTATAATTAGTCATCAATGAATACGTACAGGAAGGATTCTCTGAAACAGGAAAAGATTTTAACGGATTCGAGACGGTATAGGGAATTTAAATGGGGTATAAAGTGTTTGTAACATTTCACTCTGTCGACTTTCCAATCTGCCAGGAGGGTAGTGCATTTAGTTCTTCTCTTCTTTCCACACACTTTATCTGCTCAAGTTAACCACTCGGTCTCAGCTGTTCCCAATTGTATAGATTCGGGACAACGATCAATAGAAAGGCCAAGAGCTGTAGGTCACTTCTGAAATTAGTTTTTCGATGTATCTTTTAATTAACGTGGTTTCGTATGTGATAATTAACGTTCACGTGACACTTCATATACATTCAGTATGAACAATGTGCCGTGACTCATTAAGCAGCCACATGCTACTTATCAGTCTATAAATGTGTATGGTTTGATGCATTTATAGTCTGAAACATTACTATTAATAGAATGCAGCAAAATGTTTACGACTAGGGCACTACAGTGTTTTAACTGAAACGTGTTAACAAACGGTGTCTAAAGTGTTTCTAAGAAATGTTTCACTCAGTTGGCTTTCCAATTTCCCCGCAGGGTAGTTGACATCTAGTTTTATATCTGATTAACTAGTATATTCGGTAAAAGTACTTTTTTTTTCTTCGTTTCATTATACTATCCACGTTTTGATTATACTTGATTTATTATTACTTTCACACAAAAATCGAAGGTGACATTTAAGCTGAATAATGCAAATAACAGCTATCGATCTGACACCTAGAAGTTAACAACTTGAAACGCAAAAAGCATGTTTGACTACCATTTAAATTATATTTACATTTGAAAGCATTTCTAAAATACAGCAAAAAATAATTCTGAACAATTTTTCTAGTTAATTGCTAGTCTATGTCTTCAACAGCTGCGTCATCAATTCTATCATCTTTCACTTGTTTTAACACTCGCGATAATTTTGTCACAGCTACATTTGATCTTGCAGATGGTGGCGGTTGTAGTTGTTTGTATATTTGTTCAATAGTTGGAGCATTGATAACAATACTTTTTCGCTGCCTAGCTATCGACTCATCTGAAGGATGGGAGCTCTCTTGTTTAACTGCCGTAGAATCTCGGGGTACTTTGACGACACTCACTTCGGAGGTAGTTGTGTCGGTCCTTTTGCGCTGACTTGCTTTCGATTCATCTGAAGGACGGGAGCTCTCTTGCTTAACTGCCGTAGAATCTCGGGGTACTTTGACGACACTCACTTCGGAGGTAATTGTGTTGGTCCTTTTGCGCTGACTTGCTTTCGATTCATCTGAAGGATGGGAGCTCTCTTGTTTAACTGTCGTAGAATCTCGGGGTACTTTCATGACACTCACTTCGGAGATAGCCGTGCTGATCCTTTTTACTTTACTTAAGCTAACCTGACTTTTTCTTCTACGAGCCTGTACAATATTACTAGAAATAGCACTCTTAAGAGGCTCAACGTAACAAGATGATTTTTGTCGAGGTAGTCTAACGACACTTACTCTTCGTTCTGGCAGTAGAATCTCAGGAATATCTTGCTCAACATCTTCTTTTCTTACAGTAGCATCAGTTCTTTCCTCGTTTGGTACTGAGGATTGAATCCTATTCACTTTGATAATACTCACTCTGGGCTTCTGTTTTACTTCGCGATTATTAGTGATATGTAATGGAGAATTTTCGATTCCGTCATTTGTATCTGAAAGTTGACCCTTTTTTACCCTTGTTATACTAACATTTCCCTCCCCTTTTAAAGGAAAAAGACTGGTTAAACTCAAATCACAGTCATCACTACTCTCAGTCGGCTGGCGACTTCTTGTTGACGTACTACTGAGCTCTAAATCGCTAATGCGATAGTTTTTGCCTGGTTCATGTCGACTAATGAGATTATCAATATCACTAGGTTTTTGTTTTTTCCACAAATTTCGAGCAAATGTTCCGCTAAAAACACAATTTTTAAACTCAGAACTTAATTAGGTAGAATACTCCCTACCAAAGTAAATAATACCAACAGCAACAGCACAATGTGAGAAGAGCGAGTAAACCGAGTGTTGTTAGGCCAATAATCAATGGTAGCATGTTGAACTTTGACCCAGCTAAAAAAGAAAAAATGGTAACAGAGAAAAACGTTCAAATGATAAGTGTCTGCTAACGTATGTTTGTCGTAGTTAATGTGGTCTCTGTCGTTGTCGTATCGGTGGTCGACGTTGTTTCGCTGGCACTATAAGGTGAACAGTTCTTAGCTAGTTGGACTATATGTAAACGACGGTGTTGAGTATGAATATGAGGTTCGTTTTTTCCTATAGGCCTTTGAAGATTCGGTTTTCTTAGGCATGCACCAGTTACAGTTAACCGTAAAACTGTAACTGTCATAACGGTAGGTAAATATTCCAGAGTGATTAGTCTTGTACGGTTTGCATATATAAAAAACTGTAACTGGTGCATACCTAGGCTTTCTAGAAAACTGAGTTTCCACAGTGAACGCTTTTTTCATCGAAAACAATTTTTAATCTGCTTCGGTTGCAAAGCTTGTCGAGTTGCGTTATATATGAATTTTTCATATACATTCAGTATGAACAATGTGCCGTGACTCATTAAGCAGCCACATGCTACTTATCAGTCTATAAATGTGTATGGTTTGATGCATTTATAGTCTGAAACATTACTATTAATAGAATGCAGCAAAATGTTTACGACTAGGGCACTACAGTGTTTTAACTGAAACGTGTTAACAAACGGTGTCTAAAGTGTTTCTAAGAAATGTTTCACTCAGTTGGCTTTCCAATTTCCCCGCAGGGTAGTTGACATCTAGTTTTATATCTGATTAACTAGTATATTCGGTAAAAGTACTTTTTTTTTCTTCGTTTCATTATACTATCCACGTTTTGATTATACTTGATTTATTATTACTTTCACACAAAAATCGAAGGTGACATTTAAGCTGAATAATGCAAATAACAGCTATCGATCTGACACCTAGAAGTTAACAACTTGAAACGCAAAAAGCATGTTTGACTACCATTTAAATTATATTTACATTTGAAAGCATTTCTAAAATACAGCAAAAAATAATTCTGAACAATTTTTCTAGTTAATTGCTAGTCTATGTCTTCAACAGCTGCGTCATCAATTCTATCATCTTTCACTTGTTTTAACACTCGCGATAATTTTGTCACAGCTACATTTGATCTTGCAGATGGTGGCGGTTGTAGTTGTTTGTATATTTGTTCAATAGTTGGAGCATTGATAACAATACTTTTTCGCTGCCTAGCTATCGACTCATCTGAAGGATGGGAGCTCTCTTGTTTAACTGCCGTAGAATCTCGGGGTACTTTGACGACACTCACTTCGGAGGTAGTTGTGTCGGTCCTTTTGCGCTGACTTGCTTTCGATTCATCTGAAGGACGGGAGCTCTCTTGCTTAACTGCCGTAGAATCTCGGGGTACTTTGACGACACTCACTTCGGAGGTAATTGTGTTGGTCCTTTTGCGCTGACTTGCTTTCGATTCATCTGAAGGATGGGAGCTCTCTTGTTTAACTGTCGTAGAATCTCGGGGTACTTTCATGACACTCACTTCGGAGATAGCCGTGCTGATCCTTTTTACTTTACTTAAGCTAACCTGACTTTTTCTTCTACGAGCCTGTACAATATTACTAGAAATAGCACTCTTAAGAGGCTCAACGTAACAAGATGATTTTTGTCGAGGTAGTCTAACGACACTTACTCTTCGTTCTGGCAGTAGAATCTCAGGAATATCTTGCTCAACATCTTCTTTTCTTACAGTAGCATCAGTTCTTTCCTCGTTTGGTACTGAGGATTGAATCCTATTCACTTTGATAATACTCACTCTGGGCTTCTGTTTTACTTCGCGATTATTAGTGATATGTAATGGAGAATTTTCGATTCCGTCATTTGTATCTGAAAGTTGACCCTTTTTTACCCTTGTTATACTAACATTTCCCTCCCCTTTTAAAGGAAAAAGACTGGTTAAACTCAAATCACAGTCATCACTACTCTCAGTCGGCTGGCGACTTCTTGTTGACGTACTACTGAGCTCTAAATCGCTAATGCGATAGTTTTTGCCTGGTTCATGTCGACTAATGAGATTATCAATATCACTAGGTTTTTGTTTTTTCCACAAATTTCGAGCAAATGTTCCGCTAAAAACACAATTTTTAAACTCAGAACTTAATTAGGTAGAATACTCCCTACCAAAGTAAATAATACCAACAGCAACAGCACAATGTGAGAAGAGCGAGTAAACCGAGTGTTGTTAGGCCAATAATCAATGGTAGCATGTTGAACTTTGACCCAGCTAAAAAAGAAAAAATGGTAACAGAGAAAAACGTTCAAATGATAAGTGTCTGCTAACGTATGTTTGTCGTAGTTAATGTGGTCTCTGTCGTTGTCGTATCGGTGGTCGACGTTGTTTCGCTGGCACTATAAGGTGAACAGTTCTTAGCTAGTTGGACTATATGTAAACGACGGTGTTGAGTATGAATATGAGGTTCGTTTTTTCCTATAGGCCTTTGAAGATTCGGTTTTCTTAGGCATGCACCAGTTACAGTTAACCGTAAAACTGTAACTGTCATAACGGTAGGTAAATATTCCAGAGTGATTAGTCTTGTACGGTTTGCATATATAAAAAACTGTAACTGGTGCATACCTAGGCTTTCTAGAAAACTGAGTTTCCACAGTGAACGCTTTTTTCATCGAAAACAATTTTTAATCTGCTTCGGTTGCAAAGCTTGTCGAGTTGCGTTATATATGAATTTTTCTGGCTATGCTTTGACTCAAAGGCAATTTCGTGTTGGTTAGAGCCATTACTTTCTGCGAAACTGATAAAAACAATAAGCAGAGCATTGAACCAAAAATATTTTTCTTCTTATAACCCCTCTGTAAACTAACTGCACTCATATGATAAGAAATAGCTACGAGAATTTTGCTAATAACTAATAGCTACAGAAATAACAAATAAAGTGTGAACAAAGGACTGTGAATAAGTAGTTCGACCTAATACAAGTGCTGAAAACTTAATGTTACCTCGGATAAAACAGATGTTTTTACGAATATGTCAAATAAGAATTACGTTTTTCTTTATATTTACTACGTTTATACAAAAGAAAGTTTGTGTTAGTGAAGAAAAGCGAAATGTATGTACGTTACGTGGTAGAAAACTCTTTTTCTTGTTGAACTTAATTTGTCTCTACCAGTGTCGACATTCCATAGCCACAAAAAATTTATGTGCATGCACAACTCGATAATCTTTACAACTGAAGCAAATTCAAAATTTATTTCGGTGAAAAAAGTATTCACTGTGGAAACTCAGCTTCCTAGAAAACCGAATCTTCAAAAGGCCTACAGGAAAAAACGAATCCCATATTCTTACTCAACACCATCGATTTTATATAGTAACACGTCTTTTATACAAAAAAAGCGGGTTATCATCATAAGGACTTTTCCTCGTAAGCAGAATATTTTACAAAACATGGCCTCTTCTCGGAACGTTTTTATTCTGATATAGATGAATAGAAAGTTTAACTTTATTTCAAAACATGTTCTATTCCAGATATGTACATGAATAATATTCTACCTTCTTTACTTTATTTATCAGAGAACTAATAATCCGAAATAATCACACAAAAACACACTTAAAAAGACATCTATTTATATGTAAAATGTACATATAATTGAACGTATGAGAAACAGGTGGGAAGAAGTGTTCTGTTAGAAAAAAATTTGCTAACGTGTTTATTTTGGAATAAGTTACTGTAAAAAAATTACAAAATTATGTGAGGAAGATTCCTTTTTGAGTTGGATTTATCGTCTCGGTCAGAAAAATATGAAAAAAAACTTAAATTTCAATGGAAAAGAAGTTCGAAGTTTCAGCACGAAAGATGAAGCTTGAAGTAAGAGAAATAACACATAAGTAATCTTGAAGAATTATTTAGATCGATTTCTTAAATGTTTACTCCAAAAATTTGATTTTCGATATCCTCAACCTATTTTTAATTTAAAACACCTTTGGCTTTCATATCGAGAGTGGATTTTTCAGTTGACTTAATCCCATCGAAACAACCAAAAAA